CTATAAGAGATTTCCAATGAAATAAAGATTGTAACCTCTTAATAGTAGCATCCATACCAGAATGACCTCCCTGAGTAGTATTATGCCACAGTGTAATGATATTCTTCTTCAACTGTGGATCATTGCCCACAACTAATCTGCCCTTCCACCTAAGCTGGTTGTTAAACCAAGTGTAGGCCTTGTAAGGTTGAACTTGTAATTTAGCTATTAACTCCTGTAGAATTGGATCATTGCTCCATGATGACTTAATCTGTGCATATAGGGAATCATTAGGAGTGAGTAAAGAAATAGCTAAAAGTTCAGCATCTGGTTTCCTTGATAATGCATCTGCAGCTTTGTTCTCCGACCCTTTCTTATACTCAATAATGAAGTCAAATACCATTAACTTGGAAATGCCAGCCACGTGGAAGTCAGTATGCACCTGTTGTTCCAATAAATGCTTCAATGCTTTTTGGTCTGTCTTAATAGTAAAATGATTGTCCAATAAGTAATACGACCACTTAGTAACAACAAAGATAAGATCAAGTAACTCTCTATCATAGACTGATAGAATCTGATGCCTGAGAGCTAGGGATTTGCTTATGTAAGCAATAGGATGCCCTTGCTGCATCAATACAACTCCAATGCCCTTGCCACTAGCATCTGTCTCCACTGTAAAAGGTTTAGAGTAATCAGGCATAGCTAACACCGGGGCAGAAATTAGGGCTTGCTTTAAACTGTTGAAAGCAGTGGTAGCTTTATCAGTCCACACAAAGCTATCCTTCTTCAATAGATCATGAAGTGGTCTACAAATAGTCCCAAAACCTTGAATGAATCTTCTATAATAGCCTGCAAGACCTAAGAATCCCCTCAGCTGTTTGATATTAACAGGTATAGGCCATTCCTGCACAACAGCAATTTTCTTTGGGTCTGTAGACAGTCCCTCAGCACTGATAAAATGACCAAGGTACTCGACCTTAGCCACTCCAAATGCACACTTTGACATCTTGGCATATAGTTGATGCTGCTTCATCAGTTCAAACACAGCCTTCACATTATCCACATGAGCAGTCACACTTCTACTATAAATCAAAATATAATCAAAGAATACCAATACTGACTTCCTTAATAATGGTTTAAAAACAACATTTATTAAACTTTGAAATGAAAAAGGTGCATTGGTTAGCCCAAAGGGCATTACCAAAAATTCATAATGTCCCTCATGAGTTCTGAATACAGTTTTGTTGATGTCTCCTTCAGCCATTCTTAGCTGATGGTAACCAGCTCTAAGATCTATTTTGGAAAAAATCTCAGCTCCACTTAATTCATCAAGCAAATCCTCAATCATGGGAATAGGGAACTTATCTTTGATAGTCATTTGATTCAAACTCTTGTAATCCACACAAAGCCTCCAACTACCATCCTTCTTTCCAACTAACACTACAGGAGATGCATATGGACTGGTACTATGTTGTATTACCCCTTGATCTAGCATTTCCTACCAACTTTTTAATTATATCCTTCTTGATTCTAGGATATCTGTAAGGTCTCTTATTAACAGGATTAGAGGCTTTCTTAAGAGGTATTCTGTGATCATAAGACCCCCTGTGAAGTGGTAAAGTAGTAGGTAATTCAAAGATACATGCATACTGTTTAATAAGAGCTGTTAAGTCTGTTAAGTCTGGCAAAGGATCAGCTCTTGGTGTAGCTTGTATACTATGGCAATAAATGTATTCATCTCTACTGGCTACTAATGACATCATGAAGAATTGTGCATCTGCTCCCTCTTTCCTTGCCAAACTTTTAGCTTTAGCAGCCTTAAGTTAATCATTTGCACCCCTAAGAACATGCTTCTTTCCTTGATACATGAATTCAATGGTCCTCTTTTTGAAATCAAACAGTATCCTTCCCAAGGTATTCAACCATTGCACACCCAAAACAATATCTATATTTCCCAATGGTAGTAGTAAGAAGTCAGAGGAAAAAGTGGTACCTTGTAATAACCACTGCAAGTCCTTACAAACTGAAGCGGTCTACACTTTTCTTCCATCGGCTACACTGACAGATTGCTTCTGAATAGAATAAGCTTTGCAACCTAATCTTGAAGCTACTTCCTCATCAATAAAATTGTGAGTACTCTCAGTATCTATCAACACTTGTAAAGGCCTCTTCTCATGGTATCCTGTAACTCTAATAGTCTGATAACCTGCTGCACCTATAAATGCTTGTAAAGATATGGCCATGAACTCATTTGTGTCCACCAGTAATTCTTGTGTCATATCTTCTGGTTCACTTTATACAACCAATTCTTCAAATCGTGACCAGAAAATCGGGGAAAATCAAGTTTAGAGTATCGAGTAAAAAAAATTACCATTAGCAGTTGCACCGTGATGACCATCTCTGATTCTCCTTCTTGTTGAATATCCATTGAACCATCGACCATTAGAAGATTGTGCTCTAACTTGTTCCTTTTCCTTCCCTTTCTGATTCATAGCTCCCATATACTCCTTCAATTCCAACAATTCCTTGTCAGTTTGTACATTACGCTCGTTTATAATCATCATTCCATCCATCAACTTTTGCAATTGATCGTTAATGGCTGTCAGTTTGTCTTCCGATTCTTCAATAGATTTCTCTGAATTTTTGCTGCGCGTCATGACTGAAGCTGCCAAGGACGTGAAGCTCTGATACCAAATGATACAATGTAGCAGAAGGCAGGGGAAATTAGTCAATCTAGGAGCTTAAGCTCGAAGAAGGGGATGACTATGTCAAGCAAGATGCGAGAATATAGCTCAAGAGAGAAGAATTTAGAGAGAATAGATTTTATTAACTTCCAAAAGTATCAATCCATTACAATTGATTCAACTATATATGCTTAGCTGAAGATTCTAGAAGTACAGCTTGTAAACTAACTTCTAACTAACTTTGCCACATCAGCTGCCATCTCGGATTTCTGTTACAGTTTCACTGCTCAGCTTCTTCTTCTACTGCTCGACTCCGAGAGAGAGAGGGGGGGG